CTTCGCAGTATCTTCTAAGTCAGACGATTTGTCACGCATGTGGAAAAGCACTAAACGAGCGTTTCCCCCCTTCGGATTAAAACGGCTCTCTTGCTGATGGGGTCCGTTTGGGCACTGGAACTTAACTTTACGCAGTAGGTTGGAGAACCCTTGATAGGTGCGTGTAACACCGACTATTTATGCGGTACTTAGATAGTCACTGACATGATATTTTCACCACTCACCCCGTGGCCATCAACAACATCCATGCTGGTCCTTTGTACCGGTACAGGATGTCACCATTTCCTTCTAAGAGACTTTTTGATCTTACACTTCTGCTGCACCCTGCTCATTTTTCAGTCACTAGATTTTCTGCTTGAAATGATCACAGATAACTCGATGTTCATAGGACAGAATTTCCACCGGGTGACTGGTTGTCAAAGTCAAGACGCTGGTAAGACTCACTTCAATTAAGGTTGTTTCTATCTCCCTCATAAGCACTGCACATTTTGGCGGTCGGTTCTACGCTTACAAGTGCAGGTTGATTTTACGATGCTGACCCGAAACCTACACTCCATTAGCGAACATTAACTGTCAATTACGTTATCCTAGTGACTGCATCACATCCTCGGCCTGGGAACCCGGGAAACTCAATGATCGCGCAACGCATGAATCTTCGCATCCCGTCTCTTGTCTCTTCCTCCTTTTTATTGTTGTTACTCACGTGTTGTGGCAATCTGCCAAATGTTTATTGACTCAGTCGACAGAGTTGCTCTTTAGAGTTGTCTACTGAGAAGGGGGATGCCCGAAAAGTATGTCATTTTACTTCAAGCCATTTACTCTCCAACCTCGAGCCGAGTGTGGGTGTACGGCAGACTTTCGCCCTTCTTTGGTATCACCAGTGGCGTAATACATGGGTTGCCCAGCATCCCGTTCTTATTGAATTTCGCTATAGACGAAATCTTGGGAAGTTCTTTAGAGAACTGCGAACCCAGCGGCGTCGAGCTGCTTCCGTGGGACCGACTTCGGGATTTGGAGTATGCTGACGACATCGCCGTAATCTGCGCTTCCTCACAGGCCGCGCAAAATGTTCTGAGTAGGTTGGAGATGTCTGTCTCCCAGTTTGGAATGACCTTCGCACTGTCGAAATGCAAGGTTTTCCTAAAGGACTGGCTGGGCGCTGCTCTTGACCTTACCCTTCTAGGTCATTCAATGGAAGTGGTAGACAAATTTGTTTACCTAGGAAGCTGCCTCATCACTAATGGTTTAACGGATGAGGTCTCTTTGTGGGTATCCAAGGCTCGGGTTGCTTTTGCCAAACTCCGCCATCTCTGGCGCCCAGATGATCTGAGTCTAGCTCTGAAGCGTCTAGTTTACGATGACTCAATGAGAGCGGTTCTCCTCTACGGTTGCGAAACTTGGACTTTTCGTGCAAAGGATGTTAAGAAGCTGTCTGTTTTTAATTACCGCTGCCTTCGGAGCGTTGCTAGTGTACGATGGCAACATCACACTAGGAATGAAGATATTCGACGAGGGATTTTCAGATCAGACAGACTTCGCCGGCCACTGAGCAGTATAATTTCTCTGCGCAGACTTCAGTGGCTTCGTGCACGTACTCCGCATGCCTACTTATCGCTTATCTCTCCGGGCCTTCTTCGCGCACATAGAAGTCGGCTATAAGAGAAAGCGAAGTGGCCAACATACGACTTGGGCCAGGAGCATAAAGGAGCTAACGTCAAAGTTAGCCGTGGTCGGGCGCTCTCGACTCTCCGGCTGGAGTACGAAGGATTCGGAACACAGATGGCTGGAAACGCTCTCGGATATGTTGAGAAATCGTGCACAATGGCGGACTTGTTGTGATTCACTATTCACATGAACATCGGTCTTTTTCCTTTCGTATGTTTATTGCATTTTTCATACGTTGTGGCACTATGCCAATTGTACTATTGCATTTGTTGAGTATATATTTATATATATACATATATATATCCTGGGATATGTCAACTGAAGCAGCTCAGATATTTGTAAAACCTTTGCGGTAGTTATAAACCCGGACTGCCTAGGAAACAAGGAGATACCAGATGGTGTTTCGAGGATAGAGCGGACAGCGGTATCATCAGACCGGCATTATCGTACGAAACGAGGACATCGCTTACGTTTGGTGAATACTGTAAAGAACCGGTATCATTTTACTGATGCTACTTCCTTTCCATTCACAGGTCTTCTGGCTTCTCACGGTGCTGTTCTCACCAAATAGCTCTGCTTCGTTAGATCGTGTTCTTTGCACACTTGTGAACAATCTTCCTGGGGTTTTGAGTTGGTAAACATTGAACTCATTTGTAAGGAAGCTCAGAATGACAAAATCATCACAGCTCAAGGGAATATGACGTACCAGATCCAGTGATTGGTTCGCTATTTCACACGCTATCGCAGTAACTGTGGTCCTTAAAATACACCACTATGGCCGCTGACCATATCAACAAATCGCAGGAATTGGAATTTTGGTTACACACCCATTAACTCAGAAGAATACAAAACATCTCAGTCTCTAATAAATTCCGATCATTAAACACTTTCACGCGAAACTATTTGTCCCCTTTACCCATGTGGTCGAAAAAGGTTGCGATATGTTGACAATTCGATTAAGCTCAGCAGTCGCAGACGTAATACAAATTGGTAAAAAATTAACGTATGTGCATGTGGAACGAAATTATACGGGTAAGTCAAATTTGAGCAATCAAGGCCAAGGCAGTCTGATAGATTGCCTCACTTGCTTTTGCACACACAGTACCGGCCGGTTTACCACAATCAATAATGCCTCACTGATTGCCAGCATTTTCGAGTTGCGGTTGATCAATAGCACTTTGGAGGCATTCGTTATATCCACCTGATGGCCTGTCATCACGAGGTGTTTTGTAATAGACGAGGCGGGGTTCCGGCTCTCCAGTTGCTCTTTCACTCCATGTTGTACCATGGATTGTTTCAACCACTTTGGGAAATGCTCAGCCACTCTTTGGGCCAGTCGCCGGTCGGTCCTGCCTATATAGACGTCACCGCAACTGCAGGTGAACTGGTAAATAATATGAGAGGCCAAACCGACTGACGAACTGTCCGGACGGTAGTTGAGCTCCAGTCTCCGTGTTGTGTGAAGGATCCGTAGACACGCGGTGGTATAAGTGCGCGTTACAGCAGACCTAAGTTTATGACCAATTTCATTTGAAACATTGTCCCCTTTGAACGGTAGAAATAAACAAACATCTTTTTTCCACCGTTTGTACTAGTAGCTTCTATTTGATGGGTCTACTGTGTAACTGAATAAATTTCTCCGGATACCCGTTTGACAAAAGAGTCCTATGTAGGAACTCTTCTTCATTCTGCAGCATCTCTGGACTGCAAATACGCCTGGCTCTGTAGTAAAGGGTTCTGACGAGAGCGCGTTTGTATGCAACCGGTGCGAAGCTGGTGAAATGCATGTATTGTCCACTCCAAGTTGTTTTACGGTAGACGGTGCGTTGGAGTGTACCTTCGGCTCACTTTTGAGGAGAATGTCTAAAAGCGTCGTCGTATCTAACTGTTCCCTATCATACGACATGGAAAGGTTGGGGTGAGTCGAATTCAACATAGTGCCAATTCGGTTAGTATACTCATCGCTGGTGAAGATTAATGTATCATCTACGTAACTTTATACAGCTGGGGGTAGACTCCAAGGCACTGTCTACCGTAAAGCAACTTGGAGTGGGCAATACATGCGTTTCACCAGTTTCGCCCCGGTTGCATACAAACGCGCTCTCGTCAGCACCCTTTACTACATAGCCAGGCGTATTTGCAGTCCAGAGATTCTGCAGAGTGAAGAAGAGTTCCTACATAGGACTCTTTTGTCAAACGGGTATCCGGAGAAATTGCTTCAGTTACACAGTAGACTCATCAAAGAGAATCTACTAGTGCAAACGGTGGAAGAAACATGTTTGTTTAATTCTATCGTTCAAAGGGGACAATGTTTCAGATGAAATTCGTCATAAACAGATCTGCTGTACCACGCATTTATACCACCACATGTCTACGGATCCTTCACACAACACGGAGACCGGAGCTCAACTACCGTCCGGACCGCTCGTCAGTCGGTATGGCCTCGCGTTATTTACCAGTTCACATGCAGTTGCGGTGACGTCTATGTAGGCAGGAGCGACCGGCGACTGACCCAAAGGGTGGCTGAACATTTCCCAAATTGGTTGAAGTAATCCATGGTACAACATGGATTGAAAGAGCAACTGGAGAGCCGGAACCCCGCCTGGTCTACTACAAAACACCGCGTGAGGACAGGCCATCAGGTGGATACAACGAAGGCCTTCAAATGGTTGTTGATCAACCGCAACTCGAAAATGCTGGCAATCAGTGAGGCATTATTGATTGTGGTAAACCGGCCGATATTGGGCGCGCAAAAGCAAGTTAGGCAATCTATCAGACGGCCTTGGCCTTGATTGCTCAACTTGGACTTACCCGTATAATTTCGTTCCACATGCACATACGTTAATTTTTTACCCGAATTTATTAGGTTTGCGACTTTAACGTGACTCCAGGTTATTACACCCGTCCAACACAGACGCGCATGTGTGTGGTTAAATGATCGACGCTTTGATCGTCTGAATAGGGAGATTATCGATGGAACGAATGCTTCGATCAGGTTTTTGCTTGATACAACTGGATTAACATCTAAACAATGCGAAATTTTGGTAGCATTTAATGATGTTAATTCTGTTCAATACAGTGAAACCTTTCTAAGGCGACCAGTCGAGGGACCGAAAAAATCTGGTCGCCTTGGACGGGTGATCGCTATGGACAGGTGGTCGCCATAGAAGGTTGGACTGTGTTACCACCACATGATCTAACGTAACTCTTATATTTCCCATGTTGTAAGACTCCTTAGGCCTGAGCAGTTTCCCCTGCATCTCATTTGTTCTTCACATTCTTTCGCTTACAAATTTCGCTGCCTACTTCTCTCGACCCTTTGTGTAGCACTTGCCCCCACAGTATCTCAACAATCCTACTTTCAAGACCATCCATGGTGTCGCCTAATCTTCCTCGGACATTGCAATGTGGGGGCAGACGGCGGTGTCCACATGGTCAATCGATCAATAAGCCAGGTGTTGGAGCAGCGCAGGGACGAAAAAGACTATATTCCAGTGCAAATGGAAATAGGTGAGTGCATAGGGGATCATCCGTAAGCTTATTCTTCTTTGGACATAGACTGTTCACAATGGAACTCATAATTTCTTGTCGCCTGAAAGTTCCACTCAATAAGTCGGGATTGTCTTATGAACTGTTATCTATTTAAGCTGATTGTTGATCATTGATATGATTTCCGTACATCATGCTGGTGTTGGTGAAGTATGTATCGGGGACCGCCACTTTAATTGAGACAAACCGACTTCACACAACTCAATGTAATTACAGTAGTATGCACTGCTCTTGTGCTATGCATCGGTTGGCTTCTCAATCCAGTATTATCTTTGACTTTTTACTTCAATACAATTCGTCATTTTGAAACGTTGATTCGCAGTCAAAGGAGGGGGTGCAGCACCTAGAGCACCTCCTGTATTGATGAATGAGTGATGATAGGAATGCTTATATTTTCGGGTTTTTTGGAGCACCCGCCGTGTGTCTTGGATTGCGACGCGCAATCTCACTAGTGGCGTCGGTTGACTTTGAAGTCAGCCTCTGCCAATACGGTCACTGGGACCGTCACCGAAGTGGAGGGTTTCGGTGTGGCTCTCTCCTATCCCTGCACTCCACGACCGACGGTTTCGTCTTTGTTTAGACTCATCAGGTAGAGATAGCTGAGCTAGGAGTGGAATTCGGGGCATAGTGCTTGGCGGCTATCGCCATGATCATTAGGCCAGTCCCAGTGACCGTATTGACAGAGGCTGACTTCCAAGTCAACCGCCGCCACTAGTGAGATTGCGCGTCGCAATCCAAGACACACGGCGGGTGCTCCAAAACACCCGAAAATCTACTTCTAACCGCTGTGTCAAACACTGCTCGCGGAACTCAATGGCCTAGTGATCATGGCGATAGCCGCCAAGCACTATGCCCCGAATTCCACTCCTAGCTCAGCTATCTCTACCTGATGAGTCTAAACAAAGACGAAACAGTCGGTCGTGGAGTGCAGGGATAGGAGAGAGCCACACCGAAACCCTCCACTTCAAGAATGCTTATATTTCTCGATTTTGCAAGAGGCTATCTCTGAATTAGGGACAGATCAGTAGTACCGTACAGATCATGCTCATGCATTAGTGAGAAGTTTGTTCTGGAGCGTCCTTGTCATTAAAGCATTCTAAAATATCTGATTTTTGTTGGTGGTGTGTTTTGTGTGACAGCTTCTCTCATTAGCTATATATTCCGTGGAAGAACCCATTTGGTGATTTTCCCAATGAAAACATGACCGTCGTCAAATGCTGGTGCAGGAAATTTCCAAGTTTAATGCCAAATGTTCTTGCATGTGTACAAGACCTGATATTGGCTGGTAGGCCATTTCGCACGACAACAGATCTGACAAGGAAGAAGTTGGATCGAAAAGCTTTCCCGGTTCTTGGCACAATTAGTTTACAAGTCTTGTTGCGGTTTCCGAGTGAATTTATGTTGCAGTTCTAATGTGCAGAGAGTAGAGTAAGTATTTTGGTTTATGAGATTGTGTATGAGCATCAGGTTTTGTTTTAGTCGTCACAACTAGAGAGGCTAGGGGTTAAACTCTTGAATGCTGCTTGGTTTGGCTGAGCTTCTTTTGAATATTGATAAGATATCCACGAGTACCCTATTGCTAGTTTCATTTCAGGTCTCAGTCGACCGCAAATCCTAACAATGCATGTCAGGCATGTGTGCTCCCCTAACTTAACGTAAGGATCATCCGGTTTCCTTTAATACAAAAAGCCAAGAAAATGCCTATTCCCTAGTGAATCCTGTTGGCTGGATGTTGTCAAGACGAAAGCCCACATAAAAAGTGCGCACAGCTAAAATCCAACAGACGTAGACGCCCACACAAAGGATGCGTAGACTGAAATTGATCACTTAAAGTCTCCACATATCGGCAGTTTTGTAATTTCGGCACAACTGAAGATATTAGTTATTTATGGCACTAACCAGATGCCAGTTTTGACCTTTGCCTCCAACAGTTGCACTTTGTTACAATAAAACCCAAGCTTCCCGGTAATTCGATCGTCGCTCGGCACGTACTGCACTGCACTGCGTGCCAAACTCAGGGTGATTTATTCGGAATACCACAGGCGGAGCATTGCTCACCTGCTGCAGTTTGCTGAAGCCTCAGCGAATCTGCGACTGAAACCAAATTTGGGTTGACAGACCGAGTTCAAGGTTAGCGTTGACTCGCCTTGGTGAGGTTGGTGACCACGCGTCGCTGGACGAGACGCTGGCCGCCACTAAATGGCCCTTGGATGGTTCCACAGAGTGAGGTTAGCGAGAGTGTAAAAGACAGCATCAGTGTAAGGCATATTACACTCGATTAACATAACTTTTGTATGTTATAAAATACACAATTATAACTACCGAGTACATCTAAGAAATCAATCAGGACGCAAATTGACTAATATTTGGAGGGACTCGATCACCAGTCTCATCAAGATGAGACACCGCCATTCGTGAATTCAGTCTGTTTAACATAATGTGGAATTTAGCCTCACCGCAAACTGCAATAGGTGAGCAATTCTCCGTCAATTGAGTATTTCAAATAAATCAAACTGATTTTTCCACGCAAGGCAGTGCAGTAGGTGCCTAGCTATCGAAGTAGCATGCATGTTTGTTATTGCTGTAGAAACAATTAAGTGCAAACTAAGTTTTTGCAGTTTTGTAGGCAAAGGTCAAAACTGGCATTTTGTTACGGCCACAAATAAATAATATCACTAATTGTGACGAAACTATCAAAACGCTTATGTACGCTGACTTTAAGTAGTCAATTTTTCTTGCAGACATCGCTCGGTGTGGGCAAGTTCCCTTGTGCGTGTTCTTCCATGTGCGCAATCTACGGTGTGGACATTCATTCGACTGGCATTCTTCCATGTGGTTATGCACATCTCTTATTCGCCCTCTGTTTGTGTCAGGATGGAATTTATGCCTACTGTAAATTGTTTCGGTGTGGATTTCAGCATCGTTCATACTCTCGGTCTACCTTGCGATGGTTGGTTGTGTCACAGAGGGGGCACAAATAATATCCACCTGTTGAAAGTGACTAAGTTCGAAACCAGTCGTGGAGGGCCGTGGTGTCGGCTGTGGAACACCTAGTATTCCACTTGAACATTTTTCTTCCAGTGTCAAAATTCTCACCATCAGTGTGTTATTTCATTGAAACTGGACGCCTTGCTAATGCTTCTACCATGCGGGCGAACTTGATGCGCTTCTATTTACCATACAATGGTGCATCAGCGTTGGAATGTGGTCCCATCGTGCAACTCATAATGTCCTTAACCCTTTCACCTCTAGACAGGCTATTGCTTGAGTATCCTGAAGTTAAAGATCATGAGCGGGTACCTGATACTTAGGTTTAAGTACAGACGGACCAGCAGTGTGCGTTGTTTGTGACATGTGGTACAAAATTGACGAATGGTTCCCTATGCCAGCTGGCTTGATGACCGTAATACAAGATGCTGGCACTACGATCACATAGGCGGTGTCTAGTTGTCCTTGCTGTTCTCTCCATGGGTCAACAAACCTACCCGCATTTGGACCCACGCTGGTATGTAGTTGACAATGGATTATACATACTCCAATGAGCAACTTTCCAGAGTCTTTCTGTCGCTAGGCATCGGTTCCATGATGTGGTCGCTCAACTTGCTGATAAATAGCGCCGAGGATCACATAAAGTGACTCGGTGTCAGCCTTTGAACAAGGCTGAGGATCCTAACAAGAACTGTGCGCCAATCGGAATCTGCTATTCGTAGACCATGACGTCCCACAAACGTTCACTTCAAATGGCGTCTTTTGTACATTTTCATTTATCCAGGTTTGCTTCCTACCCTAAGTCATCTGTTTGCTTTCACTTGTGCCTACTTTTTTGATTCCCTTCTAATTAATCGAGCTTACCTTTTGTTGTGCAAAATTACTATTGGGTTGCCCGTGTAATCCACACGATTACAATCACCTCTGCATGTGGATTAAACGGTTGTTTCTTTGCGCACCAGTTCTAGGTATGATACGTTCGCCTGCTATGCTGTCCGTCGTCATAACTATGGGAAATTCTTTTCGTTATCGTTTACTCTTCCGATTGGATGTATCTGTAGATCTAAACAGAAAAGAGTGATGTAAACGCAAGTTTAGTATTTGGGCTCCGGACACCACTAATGCGAAGATTTATTGGAGCTCTGTAGATGTCCCAAGGGCATTTGCAGGGACCAGCGTTCACATCAAAGGGATGATTACCAATCGCTAGAGCGGAGAATTATTGCCAAACACCGTCGTATCATGGGGTCGAGATGAGTCGTATGATCAAAGGCGGAACATCCGCGTTTCAGCCTAATGGACCAACAAGGGAGTCAGCCTTTTCACAAATGTTTTAACGGTCACTCCTGGAGCGATTCAACCATTTGCTGGATCCGTCGCATGAATTAGCACAAATGATGAAGAATGATAATTGTGGGTAACATGGGCTCCCTCCCAAACGGAGTACCGTTACTTTATCCCGTCCACTTTATTGGTATCATACGCCGCACGGAACTGACGCAATCCTCCTCTTTTTCGGGAACGACAAAGGATCTTTTGAGAAGCCTCGACTTCTTAGCCTCATTGACATTGTCCCAATTCCGTTCTAAGGAATCCTATCTTATCATTTCCCTGTATCCTAGCGAAATGGCTTCAGCTCATGTTGAGGATTCCTTTCGCCATTCATTCGAATGTTATCTTGATTTCATTTTACCACTTGGCTCTGAGCACACATTGTAGATAGACGGACTATTAGGCACGAACTAGAGCGGAGCTTAAATGCTGAAAAGGAAGCCTGGTAGACCGGTCGGGATCAAGGAATGGTGGATGTTGGATCGGTAGGCAATTTTCATAAGCTGTTACAACTGATCCGCACCGTTGTTTCTAGACCCCACTGCCCTATATGGATCCCATTGGCATGCAAGTCGTACCTTCAAAGTGCAAAGTGTTGTTACAGGAGCATCAGCCACTTGATGACTCCTTCACCTTTGATGGCAAGGAACTCAAGTTATTTGATCAACTAATTCACTTACATTGAAAATTGCATCAGCAACGATGGGTGCATCGCAACTGAAGTTACGTCAGGTATTGCAAACGCTAGAATTACCTTTTTGAAGGTGCGACATCTGTGGAGCCAGAAAAGGGTTTCCCTCGGCCTGAATGGTCGTGTTCACAAGGCCACAGTATGAGCCGTATTGCTTACTCTATGTGAGTGAGACTTAGCCTCTTCGATCTGAGGAGCTGCGGCACCTTCAAGTTTTCGATCATCACTGTCTGCGAAGCATTGCTGGTGTTTGATAGTACCAGCTTGTCCGCAACGATGACATACGTAGGCGAGTGCTAGACAGTAATAACCAGGATAGTTCATTAGAATAACAGATAACACTGAATAACTTGCGTTACCTTGGGCTCGTACTACGCGTATATGGTCACCGCTTACAGAAGAGGGTCTTGTTCTGTTTATCAGATGTGGTGTGGCGTAACGCTCAAGGTGGGCACAATTTGATTTGGCAGCGGGAAAAGAATGCCCTGACGATAACATTAGGTGCCATTGGTCCCTCTAACCTTCCAAACTGGAGTTCACCTAACTCGCCTTGTGCCTGGCTTCAGACTTTACGGGACATGGCTTGCAGTCGACACCAGTGGCTTGTCTGCTGTCGTCGTTTAAAGTGTGTTTTTGTGCTGAGTTATCTGCAGGTTAATGCCTGTTTATGACGCAGGGCAGTGAAGGCCGCAAGGAACCTTTCTCGTCAAGGTCGCCTTATCTTCGCCCGGTAACCATCGCTTTGTGACGGTATAAGCACCACGACCCTGAATGTTTGATTTGGGCACTACGGTTTTCCGGTAAGCCTCCCATCTCTTATCATTCTTCGTTCCGTAGATCATCGTGGCAGTGAAGAATCAGTTTAGATGACTGGTGTACTTTTATTGATGATTGCTTTTCCTTAGTCTGCGGATTGCCTCTCAGTAACCAACTACAAGTTTTCTTCCGAGCTGCCCAAAGGCGAATCTGTAGTTTGATGGTCTTGTCATCTAAATAATAACAGAAGTGCACAAAAACAATGCACCATTTCGTCCAGAATTCAATGTTCACTTTATTTTTATTGGTTGTCACAAAATATTGAGTAGAATAACCTCTTTGTTGTAGTCTGTAGTCGAAATATTTTAAATGCGTCAAATTGGGATTGAAACCGACATTTCTAGCCAGGTGATTTTCCTCCAATAGAGACGTAGAATTTCTGGCTAATCACAGAACAGCATGTATAATCCTAAATTTGAAACGAGTTTTTGTACAATATCAGAACACTTGTTTGTTGCGCCGAGGTATTCTCATGAGGTGTTTTAAGTAGCTGGACCAAATGCTCGTGTTAAATCAGTATTCTTCCATGAAGAAGGTTACTCAAGCAGAGAAATAGCGACAAAAGTTGGCAGTAATGAAAGCATATTTGAAGCATTTTTCACCTTCAAAAGTGCACCGAAGGCGCAGCGTTTGAATTACTCATCTAATGTTCGACAACAGGACCTCTGGTACCCCACTGTGGGTCTGTTGAACTAGGATCATCAACATTAGCTAAACCATGTGCACCGCATATCTGTCATACCGTATAGTTCTGTCGCATTATGTCTAATGGAGGGAAACTATGGGGTGTAGGGAGCACAAGCGCAGGTAAAAGAGTGAGTACGGTTGATTACTGTTGTCACTCCATGTAGGACGGACCATTGATATCTGTTCCATCACTTGTATCGCAGTCTCGAGGTCATTGACGTTGTTACTTTCGCTCCGTCATTCCTGACGTTTACCTACTTGCGATGAAAATTCGCCACTGCTGCATTTTCACACAGCCACTGCACTTCCAGGAGAAGATTATTAAGTTGTTTCGTTCTGTCCTAGCTATACACCGTAACCTCCAGGTTAAAACCACTGGGCCACGAGAAAACTGTGGTAGCCATTATGACCAAGTGACCGACTGCTACTCATGCCCAACTTTCATGTGCCTCATCCGTTAAGTGTTTCTATTTGTTCCCATCAATATTATGCGATGCTCAACGGCACGCTACATGGATTCTCTCTATTCACGTTTGATCCTCCGATTTCACTGCCACGTGTTTGATGCTCTTATTTTTGTTACACTCACCGACTGGACGATGAATGCGTACCACATGGCACCGCATAACTCTGTTTTGCCCAAACTTTCCGCAGATCATCCACATACGCGTTACTCTTTCACTGTATGCTATCTGTCGCTCCAGGTGAACTTGGAATCACAGTGTGGGCTCATAATCCGACGAATGGCGATGTCGATAAATGTAGTGATCCGCTTCTCCGACATTCCTTTCCTCAAATCGTTTCCTGTGGTCGTCGGACTGACGGGACAAATTATTTGGCCTATATTGTCGGACAAGAGATGTGTAACGTAGCCAAGGAATTCAACTGCTACGTCTTCCAAGCGGCTAGTCGAGCCGATTCCAAATTCCTCATCAATGCGATTGCTCAGGGCTTTGATCGCACACACTGGACGCTGTGATGGTAGACGGGGAAGAGGTCAATGTCGAAAACCCCATTGTGGAACACGAACATTTCAAATCAGTCCGAATTCCCGATTCATTTCTGTAAACCTGTTACGCTGCCACATTGGACATCCTTCAGTTAATGTTTACCGCCTCTCGAGAACTCCCGCACACATACGCACACGCACAGCTACTCCATTTATTAGATGGTTGCACTTATCTTTCACATTTGTTACAAGCTAATTTCCTTTTTTCCATGATCTCCATTAGATGGATTATATGTACACCCCCATGCATTAAGCTGTGGTTGCCTGTATTCGGAGTTGCCATGACGGTGGTGGTTATTCCAGCAACTGACTATCCACCCTACCTTGCCATGCTAACGCTTGACCTTCACCACCATTATGGAATGCTCTTTTATAATTCGATTTGCCTTCGGACTTGTTCGCATTTCACACTGACCACAAGCACTTAGACTACTTCAACATACACACGGCAATCGGTCTAAGGGGCTGTTAGCTTTTCCTTAGTCCTTTGCCTTCCACTCTTGCTTTCGCCTGAGGGCAGGGTGTGCACACTAACAATCCAGCTAAGCTCACTCGTCCGAATTTCCTCTAACTGTTCAGTCAGGGTCTAAGCAACTTGTGCTGGTCAACGTTAGGGTGAACCAGTTATGCGAGCGACCAATGTGTTATCGACCCGACTTGAGCGCCACTGGATCTGAATTGGAACAGAGCCGGCTAGTTATGGACCACTCCCCTATTCAGTAGGTAAGGCTCTCGATTTGTAGAGATTAAATAGGTAGATTCCTGTACAAACCGTTGAACAATTTATGCTATTCACCGGTCATTCGCATGCACACAATTTTCCGTTGAGTACTCTCTTGGCTAAAGAGAGGTGTGTCCTCAAGTTTCAGCTAAAGATGCGATGACCGCATTTAGCCTACTGACCACTCCCATCGCACCAGGAATAGTTATCAATGTGCTCGCTTACATGCACATGTCGCTCACTGGTTAGTTGGCACACGGAAGTTGGAAGGATATCGTTGCCTTGATTCACATTACCACAATACCGGAGAACACCAATAGGAACAAAGAGATTTCTTTGCAAAATAGGCAGTTCGGGCCTGATGAAAGGGGAGTATTCGGTGCATTTATACTGTATATAGATTTTATTCCTTACAACTATATTCAGTCACACATCTGGAGAAATGTTGCAAGTCGGTTCCAACCTCTCGATTAAATCACCAGCGTTGTGCACGTCATCCGACTGCTGTACAGCTAGAATCAATCAACCAACCCTTCCGATTGCGTTGTTAGTACCTCTGTACCACAAAGGGTTGCAACGACCGACAAGGCTCTGCTAGATGTGACATTTCGCGGCTGGTTTACTCCTGACTTGCCATTCTGTCATGCAAAGAGCGCGGTGTCTCCCAGCTGAAACTTCCCAACCTTGAAACAGCCATGATTTTGTGGAATCGCAAACAGCTTGAGCTAGGTAGTAATTACAAGTTTGTGGCAGAGTTATCATTCATCATTATGCGTGTTAGCTAGAGGTGGGAAATACCTCAGGTGGTGTAGGGCAATAAATAAACAGAACAAAAATAAAATAAATTCATCAGTTACATGTCAGCTGAGCTCCCAACAACAAATGGGCATCGTTCTGGAAATCTACTAGCCGGATACTAGGCAATGAAAATTATTATGTAAAATCACCTTATGCTACGAAATGAGATCGTGATTGGAGGGTGTGGTTAAGGATGATGGGGAGGGACAATGAAACTCACAGCAGGAACGCCACTGAGTCCGGTTCCTAGCCATGTCAGCTAGTGTAGCTAGGCAAAGGATTCATTGAGCCGTGACGCTCTAAGCGAGGCCAGATTCGAAGTGAGGACCTTCATTCCTCTCGACCAAGTCATCGCTTGGCCACCTCTCCTCTTCTTCCATCCACACCACCGGCGGCAAACAATTGACGTCGCGGTAGCCGGTGGGTTGGCAAGCGTAACACCTGGTCGAGCCATCGGAGCCTGGTGCGTGAAATAACGGTGCTGAGCGGGAGAATTTAGGTTCTCAAAAGGATTACACGACCATTAATTACTTTTGCGCACGTATGATGGCTATCTAACGCGTTCATTTGTGACGAATTTAACTTACAGCCCAATAGAAATATCGTATTCATTAGATGGTAGGTCTGTAAAGCCAACTACAAAGGCAGTACCAATTTTCCAACCATAGTACTTGCACGAGTGACAAAGACCATGGTTGAGGTAAATGATGAAGTCCCAGCCAGTCCGAGGATAGGTCACCCCTGGTATCAACGGTCACTTCGTGCTTACTTGTAGTGTAATGGCGTGGCCATCGCATGGTTACACGATTGATCGAAAGATATATTGAGATCTAAACTTATTCCTAGGTGCATCGAACAGCTCTAGATATGACCAGTTGCCTTGTTGCGTAGCATATTTTAGACTTTAAGCTTTGCGCACAAATGCGTACTCAGGTAATTCAAATATGAAACTGAACAACATTTTCTGAAGCACGTTCCTATTCAGAGGACATGATCCCTCAAGGTCATGTCACCCGCGCAAATCAAGCGAAACAATACCTCAGAATGCTGGTAAGCCCACAATAGCACATATATTTTCTTTGTGGTAAACATATCACAAACGTGAGCACCCAACTTCCTGGTTATTGGCCAACTAATCTGATTGCTACTGCTACTGCACAGGTGAGTGTCGCGTTCGTTGCTAAGTGACTGGATTGATTCTCAGAAACGCCCTCTGATCAAATATTGAGTTACCTGTCAACTTTTGCGTGCTTTACAGCACAACTTTCCCAGCAACGTTTTACACGACTGATCAAGGTAAATTCTCAGTGGTCGCTTTATAATTCGCTTCCACTACGAGAAGGAAGTCGGAACACCCAGACACACAGTGCTGAGGGCGTCAAAATGTAATGTTCCCTAGCATGCCCTGACATTGTGGCAGAACTTCGGACGCCGGGCTACGTACTAATTGAACAGCACGTCTCTTGGTATATTTTTACACACTGCCTAGGGCATATAAAGCTAAACATCTGAAGTTTATGTGGACTCAAATTCATATAGAGTCGAAGGACGCTCGCCCTGTACACATAATTAAATCCCCTAATTTTACGAGAGCAAGAACGAATAACAATTTATGGGATAACCTGAATTCAGATTATCTCGGGTCTTCTCATTCAGCCGCCTACCGCCAAATCGTGGAAAGTGTAAGGAAATGTAATAAAAAATGACAATAAGGAAATCAATAAAACACTGAGAAGATCAAGGTCATCGCCTACGTCTTATCAGGGCAAGGCAAGACTGGCCACAAGGTCGACCTGTTTGCAATGGTTAGGTTTCGTTCCTCTGATGGCCGAGGCTTCAGCGAAACGAAGCAAGCTCGCATTGTTTTGTCTGCTGATAACCTTGAATGCGTCACGTGGGTTTTCGCACAAGGTACAAGCGAGCGGATGCTGAGCGATTGAGCTGGCAGGGGGCTTCGGGCCACTATTTGCAAGGTTCCGTGGAACATGTTGCATGATCCTAGTTGATGGCCTTCTATCGGTTCGGCCAATGTACACGCTACCGCAAGTGCAGGTGAATTGTTAAACACATGAGGCGGTAACCTGAGAATGAGGCCTATCCAAGTTGGATGCATGGAACAGCTTTTTGGTTTGATGTAACAACATGATCTCAGCGGCTTATTAGCAGCATTTTATGGCTTGACGTAATCGGTAGCACAATTTGCTGTCATTCTGTTCCCCTTTGTATGGTAGCGTGATGAAGACCTTTTTCTTTGGGACATGCATTCATTTTTCTTTCTTAGCAACCTCATTCCCATACCTGGCAATGAATTTATTTGGATAGCCGTTATTGCCTAAGACTCAGTGTATCGTAACTCGGTCTCGATAGACTCTTCAGAGAATATCCGGTGTGCTCTAACAAAACAAGTTCGAACTAGGGATCCTTTATTGTTCATTGGACATTTACCGAACCTATCGAAAACCCAGCTGGACCGGACAATATCTGTAACTCAACAGTTACTGCCCAATGAACTATAAACGATCTATAGTTTGTACTTGTTTTGTAAGAGCCCACCAAATATGCTCTGAAGAGTCAATCGACGTTGAATTACGGTACATCAAATCTAAACTACGCAATAAGGGCTATCCGAATAAATTCATGGCCAGGTGTGGGAATGAGGTTGCTAAGGAAGAAAAACGAATGGATTTCCAAAAGATAAAAGCCTTCATCACGCTATCATACGAAGGGGAACAGAACGACAGCAAATTGTGCTACCGAGTACGTCAAGCCATAAAATGCTGCTAATAAGCCGCTGAGATCATGTTGTTACATCAAACCAAAAAGCTGTTCCATGCATCCAACTTGGATAGGCCTCATTCTCAGGTTACCGCCTCATGTGTTTAACAATTCACCTGTACTTGCGGTAGCATGTACATCGGCCGAACCGAGAGAAGGCTATCAACTAGGATCATGCAACATGTTCCACGGAACCTTGCAAATAGTGGCCCGAAACTCCGTGCCATCTCAAGCGCTCAGCATCCGCTCGCTTGTACCTTGTGCGAAAACCCACGTGACGCATTCAAGGTTATCAGCAGACAAAACAATGCGAGCTTGCTTCGTTTCGCTGAAGCCTCGGCCATCAGAGGAACGAAACCTAACCATTACAAATAGGTCGATCTTGTGGCCAGTCTTGCCTTGCCCTGATAAGACGTAGGCGATGACCTTGATCTTCTCAGTGTTTTATTGATTTCCTTATTGCCATTTTTTATTACATTTCCTTACACTTTCCACGATTTGTCGGTAAGCAGCTGAATGAGAAGATGCGAAATTATCTGGAGTCGGGTTATCCTTTATAGGTTGTTCGTTCTTGGTCTCTTACGATTTCTGAAGCGACCTAGCTGTATGAAATTCTTAATGAAACGCCTCCCTCCTGACAAGTTTCGTTTACTGGACAAAGTAGTGTCTTTATGTTGTTCCATTTCGCGTAAATTCGCTAACTTGTTATAACGACTAGGTCCCAGTGTGTCAGCATAACACATGTTAGTTTAGCTCGAAGACAGTGGCTGGAGAGCGGATAACTCCCTCTCTGTACTGAGCTTTTCTGCTGGCTGTTTGGCAATTTGGGATAATAACGTAAACTGTGCGCTGGGTTTAGTCAGTTATTTGAACAGCATTCAGAATAATACCGAGAAAAAGTTCAGCACTACTGGTGGCTTTTACACCAAGACGCTTCCGATGGTTACACCGATCTTTAAGG